GGTTGGTAGAGATTCTCTTTTCTCTTCGTGCTCTGTATCGTGATCATCGCCGGTATTGGTAACTGCACATTTTGAGGTATTAACTATCACTTTCCTCTTTTTTTCCCCCCTTTTTATCCGCAACAAAGTTCTGATTTTTCTGGGTTTCGATGTTTTCTTCTCCAAATTGAATGGTTTTTAAACTGAAATCTCCTCTCTTTTTTTCTGGGTTTTTTTTGTTAAACCCCTTTTTGGAATTTTGAAGGCTGATTTTTGCGTTTTGATTGTGTCGGTGATATTGTTGATTACAAATGTGTCTGAAAGGTTTTAGCTTTTTGATGATCTAGACAGGACAAGCAAATTTGGTTAGTGTTTTGTTTGATCTTCTTAGTGTTCCTTCTGTCTTTCTCTAATGATGTTATTTGTTCAACATTGATTCTGATTTCATAGATTGGTATTGGGTTCAAAAGCTTCAATCAATTTGACTGTTGTTGTGTTAGTCAATTCAACAGCAAAAAAAAAAAAAAGGATTACTTTCATATTTCTTTTTGGATATAAAGTTGATTACTTCTTCACGTTTCTTTCTGAGTTTTGCAGAGTTTAATTGTTTTTTAGCTTCTGTCCTTATTTGTTTTTTTTCTTGGTTTGTACATAATCTTGTATTGATCACGCTTTTTTGGCTTGCATGTTAATTTTTCAACACATGACTTTGAGATTTTTAAATGTATTGTCCACTCTTGTATCTTGATCTAATGCGTTTCATTAAATTTTTCTCTTTTTGATTTGCAAAACAGATCAAAGAACAACTTTTGCTTAAATGGATATTCAACAAGAATCAGAAGCTAGAGCTTGGGGGATTCCCTCTGGATTTAGTCGGCACAATCATCTCTCCAATGATGTTACTTTGTTCTCAAGTTCTTTACCTGTTCTTCTTCACGGAAAACGTACTAACCAAATCCATTAAAATCATTGTGTTATATGGATACAAACTCTTTCTCTCTTTTGCTTACAAGTTTTTTTTTTTTTTCGCAGAATTGAGTGACAACAGAGATGGTTTCTCACAAATGGATGATCCTCTATGTGACAATGAATCTCATTCCATTGGAAACCTCCTACCTGATGAAGAAGATCTTTTGACAGGGATGATGGATGATCTTGACCTGAGTGAGTTACCAGATGCTGATGATTACGATCTTTTCGGTAGCGGAGGAGGAATGGAACTTGAGAATGACCTAGGAGGTAGCTTGAGCATGAATGGTCCTCCAAGATTATCAATTTCAAGTCTTGGTGGAAATGCAGTTCCACAATTCAATATTCAAAATGGCGCTGGAACGGTTGCTGGTGAGCATCCTTATGGCGAGCATCCTTCGAGAACATTGTTTGTTCGAAATATTAACAGCAATGTAGAAGACTCCGAACTCAAAGCTCTCTTTGAGGTAAACTTTTAATTGACCTTGCAGTTTTTATTCGTTTTTTTTTTAACTTTTTGTATAGACACTGATGATGGGTTATGTTTTTGGTGTTATATGGCAGCAATACGGTGACATTAGAACGCTGTACACGACTTGTAAGCATAGGGGATTTGTCATGATATCTTATTATGACATTCGTGCTGCTCGGATGGCTATGCGGTCTTTACAGAACAAGCCATTAAGGCGGAGAAAACTGGATATTCACTTCTCAATTCCTAAGGTTTATTATTGGTTCTTTGTTATCATTGTTAACATTTCTTGTTGTAGCTCTAATTTGTTTCTGATGTTCCTGTTCTCTGTGTAATCTATAGGATAATCCATCTGAGAAGGATATGAATCAGGGGACATTAGTGGTTTTTAACCTGGATCCTTCAATTTCTAATGATGACTTGCATGGAATTTTTGGTGCTCATGGCGAGATCAAAGAGGTGATTAGAGATCATTCTGTTTATTTTCGTAACACAATCTTGTGTATTTGATTCCACTGAGGTGGTTTTGAAGATAAAACATCCATGCTAAGTGTTGTGTTTCCCTCTTGAAAAGCAGATTAGGGAAACACCACATAAGAGGCACCACAAATTCGTCGAGTTTTATGATGTTCGAGCTGCTGAAGCAGCGTTAAAGGCATTAAATAGGTGTGAGATTGCAGGAAAGCGTATAAAGGTTGAGCCTAGTCGCCCTGGAGGAGCTCGTCGGAGGTTTATATCTTTCTTTGATTACCACATTCAATAATTAATGCCATTATTATTGTTCTGTTACATCTGACCAACCATATTTTGATCTTCTAGCCTGATGTTGCAACTTAACCAAGAACTTGAACACGACGATTTGCACTACCTACCTCTGCTTGGTTCACCCATGGCAAACTCTCCTCCAAGTGAGTCTATTAACTATATGCCTCTTTTCAAAACAGTGTTCTAATTTTGACATCCTTAAAGGCTAAAACTGTTTGATGTGGTCGCAGGTAACTGGCTGCAGCTGAACAGTCCCGTTGAGGGTAGTCCACTTCAAAGTGTGATTAGTAGGTCACCTGTTTTCGGGATAAGTCCTACAAGGAACAGCCACTTGTCTGGTTTGGCTTCTGCTCTAAATTCCCAAGCACCAAGCTCAAAGCTTGCACCCATTGGTAGAGGCCAAATTGGCAGCAATGGCTTCCAACAGTCATCGCATTTATTCCAAGATCCAAAGCTGGATAACAAGTACGGTGGAAATCTTTCTCCTTCTGGTCCTTTGAACTCAAATGGAGGTGGAATTGAGACGATGTCGGGGTCAGAGTTTCTATGGGGAAGTCCAAACTCACGCTCTGAGCCTTCAAGTTCTTCGCTTTGGTCAACATCATCCACTGGGATTCCATTCTCCTCCACTCGGGTAGACCGCTCAGTTCCATTTCCGCAGCAGCATCAAAATCAAAACCGCAGCCATCATCACCTCCATGTTGGGTCTGCACCATCTGGTGTTCCTCTAGAGAAGCATTTTGGATTCTTCCCGGAGTCTTCAAAGGACACTTTGTTCATGAACACTGCTGGCTTTCAAGGAACGAGTGGAATGGGTCTCAATGGTGGAAGTTTCCCTTCAAAAGTGGCAAATCATGGGATCATCAACCCTGGAAGCATGGGCGAAAACGGTTTTTCAAATTACAGAATGATGTCTTCACCGAGATTCAGCCCCCTGTTCTTAAGCGGCGGTCTAAACCCAGGACGGTACACCTCTGGCTTTGATGGTTTGTATGAAAATGGAAGGGCTCGTAGAGTCGAGAACACTTCAAGCCAAGTCGAAAGCCGGAAACAGTTTCAACTTGATTTGGACAAAATTACGAATGGAGAGGATCCTCGGACTACCTTGATGATTAAAAACATTCCAAATAAGTAAGCTTTTCTTTCTTTATCTTCGCCTCTCATGAGATATTTCTCGGAATACTATGCAAGCCAGATGCCTGAATAAATTTTCTTTCATGTTGTTGCTAACAGATACACCTCAAAGATGTTGCTAGCGGCTATTGATGAAAAGAACGAAGGAACTTACAACTTTCTCTATCTGCCCATTGACTTTAAGGTAAAAAGCATTTGTTGGAGATTCAAAGTTACGAAATCACGAACTGGTACAACGAGAAGATAATAAATCTTTTGGTTTTGCAGAACAAATGCAATGTTGGTTATGCATTCATCAACATGCTCACTCCAGATCTCATCATTCCATTCTACGAGGTCTCCTTCTCTCTCCACTTTCTTTCTAAGATGTATTGTATAAATTCAGTCAAAATCACTCAATAGATGATCTAACAAAACATTGATTTTTTAAAAGGCGTTTAATGGGAAGAAGTGGGAGAAGTTCAACAGTGAGAAAGTAGCTTCCTTGGCATACGCTCGGATACAAGGAAAATCTGCTCTCATAGCCCATTTTCAGAACTCAAGCCTGATGAATGAAGACATGCGTTGCCGTCCAATTATCTTCGACACTCCTAACAATTCAGACTCTGTTGAACAGGTAAAAAACACATTCATCGGTCTTTGGTCTGAAACAAAAACAATCCAAATGATCCTTAAGGAAATTAAATGCTTGCATAATTGCATTTATGGTGTTTTTGTTGTTCTTAATAGGTTAGTGTTGAAGAAACTAAGAATGTGGATCTCCTCGAATGTGAGCTCAACGATGATGGTAGAGAGAAGAGATGACACAAAGAGGAAAGAAAAGACTCAAGTGTTGTGACCATGGCTGTTTTTTATAAAGTACTAATTTTTAACCGTACATATTGGGGAAAAAAAAAGCAGAGAGAGAGTTATATAACTGGTGCAGAGGCCTGCGAAGTGTGTGTTCGATTTGCAGGTTTTCAAATGCTGCAGCTGGAGTAAAATCACTCTGTGTTTCTTCTTCATGTTTTCTTTCCTTTTTTGGTTCGATGGAGTAAATATGAAAACCATGAATACTCGATTTTATGTGGGTATACTGAGTCCTGACGTTGTTGCTTTTATATAAGCTTTGGCAATTTGTACAGTTATGAAAAAAACAATACTCTCCAAGTCTTTTGCCTTAAGAAGATTTAGACTTTTAGGCTAATGTTTATGGCATATTGATGTTTGTAGTTGGAGTTTTAACAGAGACTGTAACAGGAGAAACTTTGAGGTGAGGTTTTTAATCTAGGGATAATTTGCCAAATAACTCAAAAAAAAAAAAAGTATAATTAGTTAAGTAGCCAAAACTCCCATATAACCACAACCAGATTTAGTGTTTTTTGCTAGTTAATTAATTATAATTTTTGTTTGTGTTATTTGGCAAATTGACCTTTAATCTATGCACATCTTCTTCTTTTT